TGAATTTTTGAACGACTTCTAGCTGATAACCACCAAGGGTCAGCGTAGTAGGCGGTCCAGACCAATCTTGTAGAAACGCTTTGCACTTCGAGGGTGTGAAGCAAAGCCCGAAGTGACGGACAGCTAGTGCTAATCTGTCCACGGCCGCTTGGCACATTTGGGAGCTGTCACAGATGAGGGCAATATCATCAGCATACTCTAAATCAAGAAGTCGTTCTCCCGGGATCAGATCCACACCTTCTAAGTCGTGTCCTGTAAACGCGAATTCCATGACTTCGTCAACAGCGAAGTTGAGGAGGAAAGGTGACAGCGGGCATTCTTGTCTCACGCCGCTGGAGATATTAAAGGGCGACGAGAGCTTGCCGTAAGCCCTCACTCTGCCCGAGCTACGAGCATATAACGCTCGGATAATATTCACATATTTCTCGGGCACACCTTTCCTGAGTAGACAGTCCCAAAGTGCATGTCTATCCACCGAATCGAATGCAACTTTGATATCGAGGAACACGACAACGGTGGGCCGCCAATATATGTGACGGTGCTTTAACAACTGACGCCAAGTGAAAATGTGGTCAATGAAGCCACGAACTCGACGAAACTCGGCTTGCTCTTCACGAATAGGGCTTTCACAAATGCCAGTCAGTCTGTGAAAGGTGTCAGCTTATACGCCGTAACGGCGCTTCGCTGCCGCGCGACCACCACCAGTCGCGCCCGGGCTGAGTATACCGCGAGGACGTCCACCCCTAAGCCGATTCGAACCGGTGACCTTATGGTTGCAAAGCAAACGTGCAGACCACTCGGCCACCGGCCGAAGGATGACACAGGCAAGCAATTTGGAGGCGATGGAGATCAGACTGATTCCTCCATGGCTGCCGCATTCCGATGGTGAGCCTCCTTTGAAAATTGGGACTATGACGGAGCGGCTCCAATCGGTTGGGACAGTTTCCTGCTCTCACAGTTTGACTAGTAACTAGTGTAAATTATGCATAAGAGCAGGTCCCCCGAATTTGAAGAGGGCTAGAGGAAGATCATCTGATCCCGCGGCTTTAGTTAACTTCAACAGTCCGATCTCATGTTTGACTTCTGAGCGAGAGGGTGGATCCAAAGAGACAGCCCAGGGAGTGGGGCGATCACTGGTCGGCGAGAAATCTAACCATTCTGACCGATTAAATGGCCTTTTAAAGTGCTCATCCCAACGCTCTAAGCGTTTTGATAAGTTACCGATAGGCTGTCCACTCTCGTCACGTATAGTTTCACTAACACCAGGTCTCCTGCTGCCCGTTTCCCGTATCAGACGCAATAACTTACGGTGATTACCAAGGGCAGCGGCCATCTGCATCTCTGTTGCACGACGAGACCATCAGGATTCGCGGTCTCTCTTCAGGCTAGCACGGAGTTTCGTCCGGAGTTCTTTGCGAGTTTCGTTGTGTTCACTTCCAGCCGGAATATGCCGATGAGCATCTATAAGTTCCAGAGACTGTGAAGAGACCCAAATTTCATGTTGGCGATTAGATAGACATACCACATGAGGATTTTCCTGCTGCTAGTAGGGTCTGGTGAATATGAGACCAGTGAGCTACAATTGCATCCAGAGAGCGTTTATTCAGCGTACTTTGATAGGCATTCAGAACAGCTGGCTTCGCCAGTTGGCTGGTGTCAATGCGCTCACAACGTCGTCTTTGGCGTCCGCCAAAACGCACCCGAATGTCAGCACATAAAGTGCATGGTCGGTGTCAAGACCTGTGCTCTAAATCGAGCGACAGTTCTGGACGCAGCCTCTCCCTCGGTACCTTATCGCAATGTGATCGATTTGCGTCCATAGCTGGTTCGAGGCTGGTGGGCGCCAAATCACCCTCCGACGGGTGCTGTGTCGGAAATTAGTGCTCGCAAGAAATAAGCGAGCATCCTCACACAAATGAAGTAACCGCTCACCGTTATCATCACGGGAGCCTATAACATGTTGGCCGCCCAGATGCAGCTCATCTGTGGATAATTTTCCAACTTGAGCGTTCAGATCCCCAGCCAGCACTACAGTGTCCGAGCTTCTTCTGTGGCGAAGCAGTTCGTTCAGTTGGCGATAGAAGTCGTCTTTTACCGAGTCATCGCTACAGTTTGTCGGTGCATAGGCAGCGATAACGAATAGACACCTGTTAGTCCCACGCGATTTCGAAGCTTTGAACGAGCCAGCCAATCGGACCGCACACATCCGGCTACTGATTGGAATCCAATCAACCAGAGCAGCTTCAGCCCGGGGACTCAGGGCAATACCAACACCGGCTTGGCCGGTGCTCGAAGCTGCATCGTCACCGGATAGGCGCAACGAGAAAGTGCTGCTAGTGTCACCTGAAGGGGATCGTAGAGTGAGCACAGAGCTCGAGTCTTGCAGGCGGGTCTCCGATAAGCAGCAGATATCGATCGAGAGGGTCTCTAATGTTCGGGCAAGTGCTGCCTGTTGACCGATCTGAAGCAATATGCGAACATTGAGGCATGCCAGTCTGAAGGAGGATCGAGGGCTCCAAATGGAAGCCGATGAACTGGAATGGGCCGCTTGCTTGGACATGGGCCTGTTGACAGTGCAGGAATGACGCTCTGCGTTCACCTGTGAGTTGAAACTAAAAGACAAGCGACTATTGAAGCAAGGTGGGGGAGGGCCGAGAATTGGGGGTTGAAAACAGGGGGGATAAAAGTGAAGCTGGAACGGGACGATAAGGGTGAAAAAAGCGCAAGAAAGGGAATAAGAAGACGGGAAGGCTTGAGCAGTAGCATCCAAACTCCTATCTACCCAACCCGATGCAGCAAATAGGGCACCGTTGATTATCCTCTGCGGTGGCCAGAGCATCAGAAGTTTGTTTGAAGTGTGATTCATTGTATTGCGTGGGCAGGATACTGTCAGGTTGCCCAGGCCTAGACAGGAGAACGATTAGGGTTCTCAACTAAAGCCGTTGGTTAAAAAACCTGACCGCAAGGCAGCGGGTTTGGCATTGGGCTACAAGGAGTCCGTTTTAAGGAATAAGGAGCCACCCTCATTCCAACCCCAATCTGGAGGACCAGGGGGCTGTTTGTCTGGCCTCTAACCATTGACCAACCTGGTATGAGTGGCTCTGAAGGTGCAAAAATGCACCACCCAGTATAGCTCAATGGATCACTGAGGCACACAAACCATCGCACCACGGTAAGGTCCAGCCTCACTGCGATGGATTCGCCGTCCATGTTGTTCTGACATGTTCCAAGCCAAAGAATGGTTGATCGGGGGACGGTAGTGTTAATTCCTTGGTCCATCCTCTTGCTGACCTACGCGAATTGCGCAAGAAAGAACATGAAATCGTTGATTGTTGGGAAGACATTTGTATTATACTTGTGTCAAAGGAAGCTTTAAATAAATACAGGCTTATCACCTGCACTTTTGAGAAGTCTTGAAGGGATGTTAATCCAAACTTGTTCAGATGACCCTGTTCAGTTTGCTTAGGATATTTTGAAGTAGACACAAGACGCGTTGGACCAATTCGTACATTCGGTGCGGACATGGTTAGACAACAGGGTCAAATCCATGTTTTCTTGACTATGGTAATGTGTAAATCGTGATCTGCTTCTGGGAGATATACATGAGGCTAGAGTTTAACCTTATACTGTCCACTTACTGAGGGACCATTGCATCGGACATGCGCAAGTTATCCGACCTGGAGGTAAGAGCTTTTCTCCGTAAGCACTGTTGGTCTTAAAGAAGCCATATTGTTACATCACCTATTTTGTATATACGCCAGGTTATTACGTGCTCCTGATGAAGCGACCGTGCTGAAACATGCAGATGGCGTGGTCTCAGGCATAAAACATTCAACCACAGCCTCATCTGTCAAGTCACAAGCCTTTCTGGACAACTATACACCATCTAAAGCTGGTGATTTATCACGCAATGCAGTAAAGTGCAATAACATTCTTGCTTGTACACACAAAGACCGTCGTTAACGGCAATTTCACATAGAAATTCTTGAACTTCACATAGATGGCGAGGGGTTGCACCGCCGCCTTAGTGAAGTATCTAGGGAACAAACGCAACCACGATATCTCCTGGTCACTTCACGTGAATGAAGAGTTCACAAAAACCGAGAAACCGTTTTTCTGCGCTAATCACTTATGATCCTGCTCTGTCCCCGGTACCTGATAATGTGATTTATTAGCGTCTTTGAACCTTTTGATCCCATGTGAGATTTTCTGGTCTCCTAAGGAAGCATATGGGACTAATAGACAAAGCATTGAAGTAATTGTCTCTATGTAGCGGAATTCCAAAGCCAACATTAGTTGACAATATTGCGTCTACTCATATTGGTTCTTGCAAAAAACTTGTTTCGGAAATACTCACCGATACAAGTCATCCTCTCTTCATGGTGCACTGTCGGCGATCAGACGGAAGTATAAATATGCACGCGAGCTCGCGCACAACCCCACTGCAATCGCCCGTCGTCCTACTTTCAGTGGGTTTTATGGGAAATACCACTGTCTATGTCAGTTAGTAACCAACTGTTTCTGTCCACTTGTATTAAATTTTATATTTTTCACAGTGCTGAAGTTGCATATGTGACGGATGAATATTAACCTATTATGGGTGCATAACGCTGTTTCATGACTTGATTTGACTTTAAAGTCACGCACAGAAGCAACAAGAGTGTCAACAGCTGATGGAAGAAAATATCCGCAAAGTATCATCGCGGTAAGTCGGTACTGACGTTAAATAGATGCCAAAGGTAGTCATCAAGCGATAAATTCAGGAAATGGCAGAAGAAGCGTGGGGCACAAAAAGTTGGGGAGCTGCCACGGAAGATGAAGTTACTCAAAAGCAGTCGTCATAAACACGGATTTTACCAAAGAATGCTATCAAACGGGATTTGATAAACCGTTAATGGGGGTATAAGTCAAAACCAAAAAACTCATAGCAAATGAGCAAAAGGTTTGATTAGAGTTTGAAAAGCGGAGCAAGCAATTTGTCAGCGAACACAAGCACTCACCTTTGCTAAATGAAAACAATAAAGCTGGATCGCGCGGATGAAAGCGCAGTTCATTTACCGATGAGCCATGCCCCACCAAGCTGATTGGACAGCTAGCCATACTGGGACAAACGATGCGAATCACACCACGTTTACCAGCAGCAGCGACAAGCTGTTGATGTGGCGGCAAAATGGACGCACTAGAATAAGTGATCGGGGCCTGATGTGGATGGGGAACTTGGGACGGCTGGCGACTCTCCGAACAATCAGTCCACCAGCTAGATGCTACGTTACCGCTGGTGTCACGGGACCAAGCGCAGCAGTAGAACTCCTCATCTTCGCCGGCAGGGTCAGCAAACGACTGAAGGAGAACGATAACAGGGGCACTTGGATTGTGTTGATCGGAGGTGTTAACTTTCAGATTGCACTGATAGATTGTAATCTAGACAAATGGGAGCGAAAAATGAGCGAGAGGTTATGAAAATTGTCGTGGAAGCTGGTGTAAAATTGCCAAAAAGCTAGTGGCAAAAGGTCGCACAGCGAAGAAACATTAGGGCAGCCCAAGAAAAAACCACTCAAGACTCTAACAGTACTTGAATATAAAACAAAATAAAGAAAACAAACGGATTTATTCCGGGGAAGTCGAAAATGTACACAGTTTATCCTAAAACCTCCTCAGATCACGTATGCTCAGCTACACGCGGATTCCTGTGTGACACTGCAGTCGGACTGAAATGGATCGGTTCCCTCCTCGCCTTTCGGATCCAAGTAGTAAGTCAAAGGCACTAGGCGGACTCTCTCAGGAAAGTTTTGTCGCTCTATGGGCCAGGATTTTAAGTCAAAAGCTAAGAGCTGGGAACCTCGAGAAAAATCTAACGCTCGAAGCACACAATCGCAGTCTCGCCTCTTCACAAGATTGCTTTATCAATGAGCTCACTTGTTCTCCCGTTTCCTTTCCATTCAAATCGCATCTTCCCAGGTTAGCCACTAACAAAATGCTTATTCCGCAACATGTGCCAATGATGTATCACCCAACCTATCCTCTAGATCAGTGGATCTCATCTCATAGTGGGTCCTTCAACGTGCGCGTTCTAAATCTGCTCCGTCAACAAGCAACCGTAACGCACTCCCTTCATCTTCTTGGAATCGATATGTGCTGTGTCTCCGAGACACGTTACGGTAAAACCGTACGAATCAAAAACCAGCTATCGAGAATGACTATATTGGTTGCACGTCTGGCGATGTGACGTCAATAACTCGAGGTACTCGCAGTATCGGCATTACCCTGAGCACAAACGAAAGCGATGTGTTTGTACTGTTATCAGAGTCAGTAGACGCCGGTGGACGGCAAAATATCTTTGTAGTATCGGTGTGCGCTCTCACTGCAGTACGTAAGCCATGGAAGATGAGCTCTATCGACAAGCCTCATCCCTCAACCACATGATCAGAAACACGATAATGCTGAACGAGGCTGGTGAAAGAAATACTCTAATGAATCGCTACTCGGATTCATTATGTTCACCGAACGAAACGATGCCTAAACCCAAATCGACCACACTGTATCAACTACTGATAACAAATACTCATGCAAGATTGTCCGTCAAACTAGAACATCTGCCAGAAAACCGAGTAAACCGTAGTGCTTGCCCATATGGCGCCCACCATCAATCTGGTCTCATTGAAGCGTATAATTTCTAAGTTCCATATCATTCACTAGAATTTAGGACTAGCGCCTCGACAATGCCAAATCAACCCCCGAAGCATCAGCCGCTATCGATAAGAGCGTGTTAAGTACAGATTAAAGTCGCCTTTAACGCGGATATGGAGGCCTTTTAGACTGCTTGTCCATCCGATGTAGGATGGATCTTTAAAATGTCGATTAGGTGGCAAAGAAAGGCATCGGGAGCACGGCGGTACGCAGTACTGGCGCTTCGCTGCCGCACGACCACCACTGGTCGCACCAAGGCTAAGGATACTGCGAGAGTCGATCGGTCCCTATGCAGGTTCGAAACCGCGCCCTCAGATTTACGGCGCGCTTGCGATCCTTAAGGCTACGGGCCGGCTAACGTGAGATCCTAGTCACCAATCCGGAAAGGCACCAGAGGATGGTTTCGCCCTACTGTGACTGGTATTTCCTCAGTCCCCCCAATAAAAGGAACTGAACCTGTGGGCTTCAGCAGCTTGCGTCAAATAGCCAGTAGCCTAGGTGGGCTAATACCAATATATTTAGATACAAAACAAGAAGATAGGGGAAATGTCACTAAGTATCAGAACGGTTAAACGCTCTAACGTCCTATAAGCGTGATGAGTGAAATCAATGGTGCAAGTTTGTTTCAATGGCTCACGATTTGATGTCTACTACGAACTCTTCCGCCGTTGGCGGAGAGCAGCAGGATTGCTAAATCTTCGCTTTTTTCTTTAAGTGTGGCGGAACTAATGCAGAACGGATGTTATTTTCTTCTGGACTGGAGGTCCTACTAAGTGACCGACTGACAAGCAAAGGGAGCGCGGACGATATCAGCACCCTAGGTTAGAACGCAGTGCCTATACAAGTTTTGCTGAAGTCACTATCACAGAATGCTGAACGCATCGGTATGCGCTTCCCACGTTCAAAGAGAAAGTTACTGTTGTGTATGGCCATACTAATACACAACCAGTTCACAATACTAAGGGTAAATCATCCAAAGTGAGGAATGGGTTCGCTTGTCTAGAGAACTGCATCTTCCCAAGTGTTCATCGCAAGACGCATCTGTAAGGCTTGTCTAGCTCCTCAGAGTCTCAGTCACATATGAAAGATGCGAAGAATAAACTTCAGCTGTTGCGGTGTTCAGCGGACTGGACAAGTTCGCAACAAATCAGCTATCAGTATTTGGTCTCATCTCAAGCTGTAAGTTTATACGACGCTACAGTGCGAAAGACCTGGGACAAGCCCACAACGCACTGAAAATAGTAACAGATTCACTGTCTTTAGCTATTGGTGCATAGGAGGCCTCGCCAGACCTGATTAAAACAACGTGTTGTGTTGAAAGCCAGTCAGCTTGTGTTTGGGAACATATTCTCTGAAGGCGCACTGGGCAATCTTAATATATGGCCCCTTTTTGCGTGGGGAGCGTTCGTGACTTCCAGGCTGACCGCATTCGCATTGGCGCGCAGTGTGTTCCATTGCTGTGTTCTGCATGGTGAGATCGCAGTGGTCAAATAATGGGGTTGCAAACACACCAAAAAGCGAGTTGAGATATTTGGCCGGGTTCGCGCATGCTGCCTTCCCGAATCGCGGAAACAGGATGAACCACATCAACGAAACCAGTGGTTGTCCAACAATGTATTTTTGCAGTAGATGGCTCGCAGTCAGCATCAGTGGCACGCATGTTGTCGATTCGTAGTCTGACGGTTTGTTTAAAGTGTTTGATGTTGTGTTATCTGTGGAGTAGTGACTGATTATGACGCGGGAAAAAGAAAAGCCAAAAAAGAGCACGACATGCAGCTGTTGTTGACAAGGTGTAGACGCCATGGCCCTGGATGTTTGCTTAGGGCATGAAGGTTTTACGCCAGTCTACCTTCCCTCCAACTAATTATTCTTCATTCCTAAGATCACCATGGCTGTACAGCAGCGAAGCATCAGTTCCCGGTACTAATGTACTCCAGCTGATGATGACATGTTGCATCTAGTTGTTAACCCTTCCGTTCGATTCAGGTTACGAATGCTTTTTCCCGTTTCGCTCTCTATTGCAGTTTTCGTTGCGTTTCTCTAGACTTCCAACTACTGCTGACCTTTGTTGTCCTAACTACACAAGCCACGGCAACTAGACCCGTCACACACCACAATCGTCCAAGTCCGATGAATCGAACAAGCCGATGGATACTAAAGCACTCAAAACGATATTGATCAAATGCCCGAAGAGAAGCTCACATAATGTGCTGCAGCCGTAGCAAACAACAAAGGATCTGAAGGACGACTTCGATTAGCGGAATTGAATTCAATGCCAAAAATCGATCTTCCATGTAACTCTCGGACAGTGCAGGTGTGTTTGTAGTTAAAGTTGGGTACAGGTGCAGTATCCAACACCGTTGGCAATGGTGTGACTTTCTTCACACAGGAAGGATGTTCCACGGTCGCAGACTCTTTCCGTGTGGGGCTCACATGGTGGTTTGCAGAGCTTGAGGGAGACTGGTGACGTGAACGGCGGTGAGTAACCGGAGAACACCCATTTGGTTGAGGGGTAGTCCTGTTTGGAGAGCCGGGTCCATCGACTGCAGTCTCGCTGGATGTGCGAAGAGACCTGAGTATGGGTGTAAAGAAGACGATACGTGATTTGGACAATTATTAAAAAGACGATTGCTGAAAATGCCGGCGTAAATTGAGTTGTTATAATCAAGCGCCGATCTCACCGCTCATTTAAGCCTTGGATAGAGACGCTATAGAGTTGTACGGACATGGCATCAAGTGTAGATAGAAAAGCTAAAAAAAGGATAAAAAGAGAAAGAGGAGGAATGAGGTGAAATGGTGCGATTACTAGAGAGTAGCTCGCGTTCCGACAGGCCCTTCGTTCGCTTGATACAGTGTGAAATTACTCCAAAGAAAGCAGCTTTCCATGTAACTACGGAATTGTCAGCGAGAAAGTAAGAATTTCCTGGAAGAATCCCTATTTCGGTGGGCCAAGTGGATGCATTGTCGCACCTAAGTGATTACCATCAATAAGAGCAATGTGACACGGTCACCACCTAAGTCAAGATCGAACCTGACGTCAACCTCCTGGTGAGCAATGCATTAGACCGCTTACCAGTTACTACAGTTGTGCGACCTGAGTTGCTTCGAGACCCTACAGAAGGAAGTTGCAGATTTCCACAGAACCAGCCAGTCACATTCATGCTCATGAGCCGACTCATGGCCTTAAGGATCACAAGCCTGCCTTGTAATCTGAGGGCGCGGGTTCGAGTCTGCGTAAGGGACCGCGTGATTGGTGGTGGTTGCGCGGCAGAGAAGCGTCGGTACTGCGTACCGGCTTGCTTCTGGTGCCGTTTTCACCAACCGTAATGCAGCAGTACTATCAAAGCAAACATCCATCCTCCATTCTGAACGGCTGCATCTTGCTTTCGGAGAGACTGGTTATCCCGCAAACTCTGTAAGAGGGCGTGTTGCGGCAGTTCCATGCGTAACATTCAGAAAGCTATCTGATAAGGGCACTCACCCGAATCTGTGTATTGGCCGCTTAGAGACAAGCGGTTAGAAGAGCTAGCAAAAAAGCTGCAGCAGCTGTGCCACTGCTTCAAGGGCATCACTGAAATCGGAGTTTCATTCGTGACAGAAACCAACAAAACGATGGTGTCGTGTTCACGTCAATTTCGCAGGTTCAGTTGACGTCCGAAGCTCTTATTGTAGTCGACACCTAAAGTAAATGTTACTCATGAGCAACCCGACAACCCGGGTAACGGTCTCAAGATTGCGACAAATCTTCAACAGTTTCGACTGTCCAGAAACACTAGTGATGGATAAAGGAACACAGTTTACTTCGGCAGCATTTACGGAGTTCTGCAAATGCTGCGCCATCAGACATGTTCGCACTCCGCTATCCCATCTACAATCGAACGATCAAGCGCAGAGGTTTATGGATACATTCAAACGCGTTGTCCTCGAATCAAGGAGAGCGGGGTGTATAGAAGAGGCAATAGACCGGTTCGTTCTCATGCACTGTTCCACACCAAATTCACAAGCACCGGATGGTTTTTTCAGCACAGGCTATGATGAACAGAAAGTTCCGTAGGTCCTCTGGTGCGATTCAACCACCCTCAGATCATAAAGGGCATCGCAAGATGGAACGTGACTTTAGTCGTCGACATGGAGCGAAGCAGCACTCGTTCAAATCGGGGCAGCCAGTACTTGTACTTGACTATCAGGAAGGCCTCGCAAAATGGACGCGCAGCACGACTAAAAACAAGTGCGGGAATGTGAGTTATGATGTGTTCGTTGGAACACAGATCTGGGTCCGCTATGCATACAAGTGACGGCCAAGGCTGTGCCAGTCAGAAGAAACAAAGGCAGTTGAGGTCTCGTTAGACTTGTTGATAGATAGCCGGTGGCCGAGTGGTTTGCACGTTTGCTTTGCAACCATAAGGTCACCGGTTCGAATCCGCGTAGGGGTGGGCGTCCTCGCGGTATACTCAGCCCGCGCGCGACTTGTGGTGGTCGCGCGGCAGCGAAGCGCCGTTACGGCGTACAGCTGGCACATTATTTTTTTTATTTTCAACTTGCTAAAGGAACCCATGGACGACCGATGTCAGTCGAATAATGAAGCCATACCGTAGACCACAGAACCCACTTTCAGAGCACTTCAGCCAAGGCGATGGGCCGAAATACACAAAACACCGTCCTTTAGGATACAAGTCCACTCATGCCCTTATCATAAACCGTGGCCGCCGTCTCAGTAGGGGAGGCATCTAGGGAAAGCATTACCCGGAAAACCATTATTTCAGCGGATAATCGAATGGCACCGGTTATGTATCGATCTCGAACATTCTGGTACTTCCCAAGGCTCCAAGTGACAGTACCACATCCTGAGGACTGACTGAATCGGTCTGGTACTACTAGTTCTAATACGACCTTTATGTTTTGAAGGTTGGTCATTTAACAACCTACAAATATGACAAAGGCCAAACTCAGTTACACAGTGCTTCGGCGGTGTTCTGGTTAACAAGTCATCTTACAAACGTCATTTGATTGCTAATTTTTCCCACGACGGCTAGAATTTTTGAAGACATGAGCGTTTTACTTGGAATAGCAAACAAATTGGTAGAGCTAACAGGAATCTAACTGGTCCACGTATCTGGTTACAATAGTTTGAGTAACTCGGTACAATCTGCTCCACCTCCGCTTCGATTTGCGCTCGCCATCGTTTGCACTGCTGTCGATTCGAATACGTTCAAGTAAACAGTTTGGTATGTCGGTATCGCCTCAGTCGTCATTGGACGATCCTATGTCACGTTTTTAAATAATCTATCTCGCCAGAGCCTGCGGCTCTTGTCCACTGTTCAGAGGTTGGTGGCGATCTTTGTGGTAATAGCTGATCGCCTGACCAAAGGTGACCGAAGGGGTGTAGACAGACAGGAGGTCAAGCAATCGCTGCCAATGAAGACTGATTAAGTCTGGATGCACCAGAAAATGATCATCATCTACAGCAGTACACCAGTCATTTAAACCAATGCTTCGCTGCCGTAAAACGACGGTGACTTACGGAACGAAGAAGATTATCAGGGAGAGGAGACACCTAGTGTAAAACTGTGGTGCTTTAAACAAACATGCAAAGTCAAGGCACCTACACCTCGTAAACAACATACCGTCACAAACAGCTGGCTCTTGTGTAAAACGCGACATCGGCGCGACAGATTCCTTGCAGCTTTCATTGCCCCGCGTCATACCCAGCCATTATCGGCAGATGACTCAGTACCAAACACACTCTGAACAGGCAGTATGACTAAGAGGCTACAACAGACACGCCAGTGGTGCTGACTGTGAGTTGTGTCTTGTGACGTCTCGAGCCAAAGAATAATAATAATAATAATAATAAATATTATTATCATTATTATTAGGCTCGAGACGTCACAAGACACAACTCACAGTCAGTACCACTGGCTTGTCTGTGGTAGTCTCTTAGTCGGACTGCCTGTTCAGTGTATTTGGTACTGAGTCATCTGCCGATAATGGCTGGGTATGACGCGGGGCAATGAAAGCTGCAAGGAATCTGTCTCGCCGATGTCGCGCAGACGTCTCGAGCCAACTTCAAGGCGAGTCACGTGGATCCCAGCCTGTAAGGTGAGACGGACCAATGGCACCAAGTTTAGTTGTCAGGGACTGCATTTCCCACTGCCAAGTTAAATTGTGCCCACCTCGGGCACACCTGGCAAACAGAACAAGACCCTTCTCGGTAAGCGGTGACCAGGCCATGTGTAATACGTGTCTAAGCCAACGTAATGTATTCAGCGCTATCTCTTGTTCTAAGGAAGTAGCATGATTATAGCTGCTTAGTACTCGTTTACGCGGATAGCGCCCCCCGGTCGGTTATTTTTGGCTGTGTTGACAAGATCACTTTGTGTTGGATTTCTCCGTTCATTGGAAGTATTTCGTGGAAATTTAGATACAATTCAGTTTCATTTCTGGTTCTGGAATTTCCGACCAGAAATACTTGTGTTTTCATCGCTTGGTTTCGGAGATCTTGCTATCACCATTTCCTCCGACAATTGGCCGCCATCTTGTTTTCGGATTATTCACAATGCCGAAGCAATCACCCTGTGGTACTTGTTTCGAGATAGTCGGATACCGTGCAAATGTCCTCATGTGTGTTTTGTGCCAAGTTAAATACCACATTTCATGTGTTGGATTATTAGTTGAGCATTTTCATCGTCTTCGTGAGATCCAACACTATTTCGTTCAAACTTTATGTGAAAATTGTCGAAACAAGATACAACCAGGAGGAGTAAAGCCGACATGTAGGCTTCATCATTCCATTGCGGACAGCTCTGTGTTTAGCCCAACAACGTAACCCGAAGAGCCTTCAGGTTTCAGCTCAGTTTTCCTCCTCTACCCGTGCAACCACCGGCACGAAGTCCAACCGTTGTGAGAAGCCCAGTTTCACCTTGTTGTGTCCAACGGGCACAGATATCTCGGCAGGTGAAAGTCTGAGTGCTGAAAATCAGTGGAAAGAACAAAAAACGAAATTACGAAGGGATGTTGGGCGTTTAACTTCTGTAAGTCAACAGTTAGCCAAACCACGTGAGGTTGGTAATATACTTCGCCCTGCAAGGTCAACCTCGTCCGATCAGACGCGTTATAAGCCCGTGATTTTTCACGTGCCGGAGTCCAGTGATCCATCACCCCAAGTGCGCTACGATTATGATGTCGAGTTTTTACAGGGTCTAATTGACAAACTACTCGACGCTGGTGAGGACTCGGTAAAAGTGAGGCAAATTACCCGTCTTGGAAAGCAAGGTGATCAACCAAATCAACCTATAAGAATTACTTTTGTGGACGTAGCCAGTCCAAGACTGATCATGTCCCGCCTAGGTAGGCTGAAAGGTTTGTAGATCCATGTTCGTCTAGACCTGGACGCAGTAGACAGGGAGCGGCTCAAGTTTGCCATCATTGAGCTGAAGAGATGTACTGGTGAGGGGGAAACAAACCTACGTATCGTAAATTTTCGGGTGATTTCCAACAATCCGCGAATCAGGATAAACAGGCTGCTCACACTTCAAGCACGCCCGGCGGCTCCTGCTGCGGCCTGCGACTAGCCTACACAGCCGTTTGCAGTGTTATGAATAAGCGCGATGAGCTTTGTTGTTTCGTTGCGTCTGAGCGGCCAGGCGTAGTGGTACTCGCAGAGTTATACACCTAAGAAGTTGAACTCAACGGTTACGCATGCTTCAGATGTGACAGACTAAAGAATGCCCGCGGTGATGTCTTGCTTTACATCCGGTCTTCCCTGCGTGGGAAATTTGTGAGCACCTACTGAAGTGACGGTTTGTGTGAGCTACTGTGGTGCTCCATTCGCCTCGGGTGAGGAGAACTACTTGTGGGCGCAGTTGATTGCAGCCCCTTGAGTCGTTGTTTGAATTGGCTGCCCCATCTTCGAAGCCACATGAGTCGTGTACACTTTCTACTCAGGGGCGATTTTAAGTGTCCTCAAATACGATGGCCTGATGTGCATTTGATGCATAGACATAGTGAGGTTGAAGCAAAGTTGGTGGATTTGGTACTTGAAACTGGTGCATCGCACACATATGTCAGTCAACACGCATAACAACAGGCTCAACCCAATCCTGTCTCGACCTAATGTTAACGAATTACGAACAACGAGTACGTAACGTTCGGATCCTGGAGTCTCTGGCTACAAACTACCACTCAGTGCTCAGAGCTGATATGGAATTACCTTTGCCGTATTCACATCCGCTGGAACTAGCTTACAACTACTGGAAAACAGACTTGATCTAGCTCGAGCCACGAGCCAACCGGATTGGTCTGTCACAAGCTGCATCTGTGGAAGACTGTTGGATATGTATAGAAGTGAGATTGACATCATTGTGTTCTCAATTTGTGTCATTGAAATGTCGGAAGGTTGGACCGATTAAGCCTCACTGGTTTGACAAGGAGTATGGAAATCTGGCTCGGGGGCGGCGCAAACTTTGGGACAAACTCCTTTTCTCTGGAAGGGTATAAAAGTCAGCGGAACCTATGCAACAGTGCAAAAAGGAATAAGCGCCGAGATTTCGAAGAGCATCTCGCAATAGCGGCGAAGACCTCCCCAAAGAGAATCTTTGCTTACGTGAAGCGAGGCCTGAAGTCGGCAGGTGATGTGCCAGTGCTGGATGGCCCGGATGGACAGCCCCTAACCTCCAACATTGAGTGTGCGTCCGCGTTTGCGGCGCACTTCGCTTCTGTATTTGCAAATGACCAGGTGTCTGTTCCGAGTTCGACGTGTACCGCTTTTAGCGAACTCGACAGTCTGGATTGAGGCGTTGAAGAGGTATGGCAACTATGCGCCAACCTTGACGGCACCAAACCTGCCGGACCTGATGGGCTCCACCCACTGATTCTCAAGTCACTTGCGACCATCATCTCTTCTGTCGTGACTGATGTTTTCAACAGGTCGTTTTCCGAAGGTTCGTTGCCGATTGACTGGAAATGTTCGTGGTGAAGCCTATTCCGAAAGGCGGTGATCCTAGCAAAGTAGACAATTACAGGCCAATTTGTCTGACACCTATTTTGGCAAAGGTTGCTGAGAAAATCGCGAAGAAGGGATTGCTGCATTTGCTACAGTCAAAAGAGGTCCTGACGCCTGCACAGCACGGTTTTATACAAGGCCGCTCATGCATTACAAACTTGCTTGTGACGAGGCATGAGTGGTTGAAGGCAATAAGTAGGGGGAAGTCTGTCGACGTGATATTCATCGATTTCAGTAAAGCGTTCGACAAGATCAGCCATGAGGTTCTCTTTCACAGCTCAGGATGTGTGGTGTCGGTGGCTCACTGCACTTGTGGATCCGCGACCTTCCTGTTGGACGAAAGTGGAGGGTGCAAGTCGACGACCATCTAACTGTCTGGTATTCCTCTACAAGTGGCGTGCTGAGGTCCACTCTGTTCCTGATCCACATCAACGATCTACCTCAGCTTTTCCGGTCGCCCTGTGTTTTGTTTGCGGACGACATGAAGATTTGGAGAGAATTGACGCTCCCGACGACTGTGGCCTACTTCAGCGAGACCTCAACCGCCTATCCACATAATCTGCAGCAGTTCCACTCCCGAGCAACCCAGCCAAGTTTGTATTTATGAGCCTGGGGAACGGTGCTGACGACCGAACCCACACCCTTGACGGCCAACCGCTAGATCCCATACCCTCCGTGAAAGACCTAGGTGTACTTTCGCGCCACGATTTGAAGTCCGTGGACAACACGAACAGGCTATATCGTAACGGACTGTGCATGATTTGGGCGCTCAAAAGTAGCTTCGGCACGTGGTCTGCAAAGGTTGCCACTCGCCTCTTATCTTCCATCATTAGACCAATGCTAGAGTACGGTTCACCCGCATACTTTCCGATTACCCGAGGCGAGGCACAAAAGATCAAACGGGTCCAACACGTTGCTGCCAGGCTCGTCCCGAGGTTACGTGGCTTGGGGAATGGAGACCGGTGCGGGAAACTAGGACTCTACACCTTGTCCTACCGTCGGGTGCGAGTTAACCACACTATGACCTACCGTATCCTACATCTCGGTGACTTCCCCATGTTGAGGCCAATGCTGCACTTACGAGGCCCATGCAGCGCACGCGGAAACCTGCGTTCCGGATGTGAAACGTGTTCCCCACCCCCTGTGCTTCGAACGGAGAGTGGTAAATATTTGGAACATTTTGCCTGAAGATGTGATGGAGGCAACAACTGTGCAGCAGTTCAAGACGTTGTTAGATTTATGTTTTACCACTATTCGATTCAGAGAACGATTGCACACTTACGATGACATGTCATATTTGTGAGTCTTGCAATACCGTGAGTCACAGAACGAAAGGTTACCAACTTCGTAGACTTGCGACAGCTGAAGCAATATGCATTCGATTGTTCCAGCCGTCCTTAGGCTCGCAGGAGAAACTGGTCCAGGCTCTCCAACTTCCCTGGCAAGCGAAGACGCCTAGATCGACTGACTTCCGTTAGATGCGGTAGCAAAGAACTAGCCCACTTCACGTGATCTATTCGTTTTGAACTAACTGGGTCGATGTTGATTTTTAACCTCCATATGATTGTAATGGTCTGATGATGAATCACTGAAAGTACTCACCAGATGGCCGTTCGTTCTCGCAACTTAAATGGGAATTTTCAAGTTACTTAAAATATGGGGAGACTGGACAACCATGACGAACGCCACCTGTTGCTGGAAAGATATCAGAGAAGTCACCGTAGACCCTGATGCGGCCTGTTGTGTTCGAGTGCAGGATACATAAAATGTTCACATATTTCGTGAGAACACCTTTCCGTGCAAGTATCTCGAAAAGAACGGATCAGTCGACTGAGTCGAACGCACACTTGAAGAGGAGGAACACAGCTATTGTCAGCCTGCGGTATACGCGGCGCTGCTCCAACATCTGCCGCCAAGTGGATATATGGTCTATACAGCCTCGTTCTGAGCGGAAGCCTACCTGCTCTTCCCTAATTCGGGATCCCAATTTCGCAGTGAGACGACGAACGAGAGTTGAGGCCAGTATTTTTGTCACCACTGGCATTAGGCTAACACCCCTGTGATTAGCACAATTTGTGCGACTGCCCTTCTTGTACATCGCTAGTATAACCGACTCACTCCAGTCAGTTGGGACAATCTCCTTCTAGAGATGTTCGAACAGGCTGGTGAGTGCTTTGCAGAGGACCACATCATCATGCTTAAACAGTGCAGGCTTGAGGGAACGCGGGCCAGCAGCCAGAAAACGAATGAGGACTATGATTGCGTTTCAGACCTCAGCCTCAGACGGAGCCTCAAGACGAACTGGCATGGCGCATCCTGTATCAGCTGAGCAGGAAGAGGTCTACACGACACTCTCCGTCTTAATCGGTTCCGTACGCGCTATACAGATACCTGCCGAGTGACCGTAACTAAGTGACAACTTTGAGTACTCTGATCCACAAGGAATAAACCAAAGATGTTGTATGTTAAAGAAAAGTTAAATGAAGGAAACAGTTTGTTAGGTTCCTGCAGCGACCCGATCATCATCATCATCATCGTCATCAACAAGGACCAGAAGGCTGGATCAATGTGCTTGGAAAAGCTGGTATATCGGAAAAGGTCGAATAGAATAAAGTAGAGCATCGGGTAAATAGGCTAGTTCTACCCGAAATGATGTAGAATGTTCACGCGACAAATAACTGCGTTCAAAAGTTTTAACGATGCGTTCCCTCAGTAAGACAGGAAGAACAAGCTGAGAGTAGTAGACGAAAAAAGTGAGTAAGCTGACAGTGTATTAAAAGTTACCGTGCAAGCATTTTAGGGGAAAAGGCGCACTCACCCCCTTGTCTTCGTCTCACAGTCCACGACCATTGTGGTAAATAAAAAGGAACCTAAAACATAAATACGCGATGGGCGAGGATGAGTAAAAACAAAAAGTTGTCTTGTGATCAAGAGAGTAACCATTCAATGAGAAAACTTGTTCATGAAACGTCAGCAATGAGCGGTAAGTCAGCAAGCACCATATGCCCTATGATTTAGGACTTTAAAGCACTGAGTTCCGTGTATCAATCTGAATAAGATATTAAGATGAGTAGTGCAAGATGTCACCATTTCGTGTTATCTGATCACCGACAAGCCAACAGCATAGGTAGGTCACGTGAAATAAGATGATCGTTTTGAAGTGGGTCAGAAAGGTAAGTACACCGATACACATCAACAGATGGCTGAGTTTTGACAAACGGCATGAACCCCACGGAAGTGTAAGGACTACTGTCAGTTGCTTCTGTACATAGAGAGTAGGACGACCCGATTAAGTCACGACCTCGGCAAACTTCAGCACTCTGGCATTTTCGCTTCGGTAGACAACCGTAAACGTTGAATCAGGGTCAAGTTGATGACCTGTACCGGATATGTGTCTAGCAATGGATGACACCGACAGTTTGCTTGCTATTGCTTATCCGGCTGTTTGTTGCACCATCACCTTAGTAATCCGCTTCGGAATATGCTCTCCCATCCGTTTACCCAAAGAACGACCTGCTCTGCTAGGGTGCTGAAGTTCGCCGTGGTCGTGACACCGTCCTACTCCCTGTGTACCAAAGCAACCGACAGCAGCCCTAAAACTTCCGTGTGGTTCATATCCTTTGCCATAACTCAGTTAGATGTTAATTTGTATGGGTGTACTTTCTTTTCTGACCCATGTCAAAATGACCGCTTTCTTCTCACACATGACCTATATATGTTGTTAGCCTGCAAATGACCAGAGAACACGAAATCGTGACATATCGCAGTACTCGCTGTCCGGTGGAAGATGAGAATATCCTGGAAAATCCATTGTTTCGGCGATTAATCGATTGGTACCGATTATCGCAGCAAGTTCGAACGTTCTGGAATGTTCGGAGGACTGCATGTGACTACCAACCTCTTGAAGATTGGCCAGATCGGCATGGAACTACCGATTTTGACCTCCATATTCCAGAAGTCGGTCAATAAGGGATCTAGAAATACAACCAAGGTCTGCTTCAGTTGTACAGCGACTTTTTTATTCGATTGGGATAGAGGTCGTGTGGAGCAGCAAAGTGGGTACCATGGAATTGCGACAAGTGGGAAGATTATAACATATAACGACGGAGAAAATTGGAAATGTGATGAATTTTTCTGCTGAACAATTTCATAAGCTGCTTCTTCAACAACAATCTTAAATGAAGACGATAGAAAATTGACGGAATGCTTAAGTCTGCAGTCCACAAGAGCAGCGGCGCGGGACACGCAGGTCGATTTCGTTGATCTTCTCAGGAACGCTATCACTGAATTCAATTATGACGCGAAATCTGGATGCAAGTCGAGCATGGCTCAAACGTTAGGAAGATATGTTCCGTACGAACTTCATTCGTCAGGGGGATTCCTGGAAGGTATGACTGTTACTTCGCAAATTCGGCACAAGTGAACACTCAAGTTTCATAGACCATATTTTGCCCAAACAGCCGGAGAATCTGATGTCTGACGAAGCACTGTCGCAACTGAATAAAATTTTTGGTGAATCAGTATCCTTATTTAGTACCTGTTAACAGTGTCTAAAAATTGTCAAACGTGACACAGACGATTTTGGGGCTCCAGCAGACATGATCAGCCACGAGTGTGAGCGTTCCAAACTATGCTCTTTAACGGATGATCAGATTAAACGTCTTATCTTCGTCAGCGCTCTATAGTCCCTCAGTGGAGCTGAGATCCGCAAGCGAGTTTTAGCTAAGCTGGATCAAGATCCCGATCTGACGTTGAAGGTCCGCGTAAGTGAATGCAAACGCCTGCTTACTCTAAAACACGACACTGTCCTTATCGAAAAGAATCGTCTCGCATCACTCGATACCGTGAACTCAATGAAAAAGGCAGGGACCGTCAGCTCAAGAAGACCGTTCCAGAAAGCTCCGAACAAACCCACAGCATGATGGTCATGCGGCGAATGACATTTCGCCCGGCTTTGCCTATTCAAACATCATATTTGTGAAGCGTGCCATAAGCAGGATCATAAGGAGGAATTCTGCAGTCAAGTCATGCCGAAGAACGTGAAGTAGTCCTACCGAAAAAGGAATTTTAGAGAGGATGGTGCAGAGTCTCTATACATAGTTTCCGCACTCCAAAGTGAGTTTAAACGGCGACGACAATTCATCAGCGTGTTGATGAATGGGATTCCAAAGAAATCGCAATTCGACATGGCCTCAGACATTACGCTTCTTTGCAGGAACACAAGGACTCGCATGAGGCCAAAGATGGTCAAGTCTCACAAAGTTGCGCACAATTCATTAGGCAGTGTGCTAAAATTAGTCGATGAACTTTATTGCAAGGCTGCATACAAAGGTGTGAAAGATTCAGGAACGTGTTACATTTCGGACCGGCCGAATTTGAATCTGCTAGGTCCTGAATGGACTAAGAAGTTGCGACTCCTTGATGTTCCTTTGAATTAGATCTGCAATCGAATCTAAGGAAGTCTAGACTAATCATCAAGGTCCGTGGAAGACTTGAAACTTTCGCCCCCTATATGCAAATGATGCGACTTTTCCAGCTCGCCGACATTGCCGACCGTATTTGGGAATCCAACAACCAGATTTCTCAGGTTCAATCCACTTGCAGTACGTAGGTAGCAGAACTAAGAGCGCAAGTAGCGGCGCTTACCAATCGAATAGAGAACCTAACACCATCCGGATCCAACAGTCGAAATCGTTCAAGTAATCGCATTCGTTCCAGATCACGTTCGAAATCTCCGCCCAGATCAATCTATTGCTGGTACCACGAGCGAACTGGTCATCAGGTCAGATGGTGTCGCCCGCCCTGTTCCTTCAAGCGCAACACACAGGGAAACGGGCCGGCCAGCACGTAGGGGCGACGGACGTTGCTGGCTGCCGCAGTCGCCTTTTCTTCGTCAATAATCGAGGAACGGAAGTTCGCTACTTAGTGGACACAGACGTTGGAGTTAGCGTCCTTCCTCGCGATAAAAAGGACGCCAAATGAGGCGATTAGTTCACTGAGCGCAACCAACGGAGCGACCATTCCCGTGTACGGTCAACACTCGCCCATGCTTAATTTAAACCTAGGTGTTTTAAATAAATCTTTCTCGTCGCAGATGTCCAGATGCCAATTCTTGGCCTTGACTTTCTGCAGCACTTCGACTTGCTTGTTGACGCGAAGCAATGTCGTCCGATCAATCGCCAAAAAAAATCTGGCAGGTATAGGTACTTTGACCGACATTGACTCAATCAGTCTTGTATACGCCAACTAATCAAACTAGACTTTCGGTCAGATGCTTCTGAGCAAATTCCTTTAAGTCTTCCGTGCAACAGCACTGTTGCCATCCGCCAGTGACGCTGCAAAACATCACACCGTTACCAAAGGTCCACCTGTATTCACTAAAGCAAGGTGAATGAGCCCTGACAAGCTGAAAATTGCTCGCGCAGACTTCGAGCACATGTTTGAACTAAACAGCGTTCGCCTGTCTAAAAGACCGTGTGTGTCGACACTCCACATCGTGCCGAAAAAGTCAGGAGACTGGCGTCCATGTGGTGATTACTGCACGCTCAATAACGTAACTGTTCCCGACCACTATTATATTCCTTACATTCAGGACATAACGGTTAGCTTGCGCGGCACCCGTGTATTCTCGAAAATCGATCTGGTTCGCGCACATCACCAGATCCCAGTTACTGAGGAAGATATATCGCAAAGCACGGTTATCACAGTTTGGACTCTTCGAGTTTTTACACATGCCCTTTGGTCTTTGCAACGCAGCCCAGACTTTCCAACGATTTATAGATTCAGTCACTAGAGGTCTAGATTTCGTCTATCCATATATCAACGATATCCGTGACAAGCGCTTCTGAAGAACAACATGCAGAACATCTCAAGATCTTTTTCGATAGACTGGCCGCTAAGAGCATCACTGTCAACGCCGATAAATGCGTATTTCAGCAGCCTTCCATCGAATTTCTTGGCCACCATATCGATCAGTATGGCATATGGCCTCTAGACGATGGAGTCCACGCCATCAGAGATCTTCCGGTCCCGACTACGTTAGCCACTATTCGCCGTTTTAACGATTTGATCAACTATTATCGACGTTTTCTTGCACATTGCGCCAGCTTGCTAAGTCCACTAACCGGTCTACTTCGTGGACCTAAAAACGGTCAGGTGAAACTGACTGCTGCCGAAGCGCTCAAGGCCAGCAAAGAGGCCCTAGCCAAAGCCGTTATGCTTCACCATTTCGATTCGAACGCTCCGCTCAGTGTCAATGTTGATGCATCGGACACCGCCATTTGCACCGTCCTACAGATGGATGCTGGAAATCACTAACTTTGCACTTCAGACGGTTACAACCTGCCGAAGCCAAGCCAAGCACGTTCAGTCGAGAACTGCTGGCTGTTTATTCTGCCGCTGGACATTTCCGGCACGTCCTTGAAGGTAACATCTTCATTATCTTTACCAAACACAAGCCGCTTAACCTTGCATTTCGAAATCAAGCAGATCGACACTCACCACTTGAGATTCGTCAGCTGGATTGCACAGCCCAATTCTCGACTGATATCCGACACATTTTTAGTCAACAAAACGTCGTCGCTGATGCTCTTTCAAGAGTATCTGCGATCGACCCTGCCGGGTAGGCAATCGATTTGTCTGCTATGGCCGCCGCGCAATCAAACGACCAGAGCTTTTCGGAACTACGTGATTCCGTCATCTGATGGCACAATTTTATGCAACACATCTACCGGACGACCTCGACCTGTCGTTCCAGAAGCCTTCCGCCGTATCGTTTTTGACACAGTTCCCAACATCGCCTAACCAGACATTAGAGCTATTGCTAAGGTAGTCTCCGAGAAATACATTTGGCCGGGATGTAACGCGATCTT